TTATCTTTCAAGCCATAAATCGTAGTAACCAAATTCCTTTGACGATGGACTGCTTACGTCATGAGGCAACAATTTTCATAGCGTCATCTTTTTTTTTTCTTTAAGAATGCACGTATGTATGTATTATTAGTCATATATTTGCATGCTTACACCAGATGTCTAGTGATCAACTCTAAGGATTTAGTGACTGAAGGTCCTTTAAATCACTTCAGCATCGTAGCAAACCCTCAGCAATTCTGTAGTTTGTAATGTCTCAAACCTTACTTGAAATTTCAACTCATCTTATCTCGACTCCCGTGTTTTTGACAAAGTCACGAGCGATTAAAGAAAAGATTTTATTCTTCATATTCTGTATATTCTTCTACGTGCCACTTCTCTTCAGTGCATAGGCGACCATGGCTCCCACAACTTCCTATCTATTGTTGATCATAGTAGCTTTTCTTTCTTTTTTGCTAAGGCTTTCCTCATTTTCCGTCATTCATTCACGGAAGGGTAAGTTAATTGGCTCACTGCTTTGTCTTTTCTTTCTCTAAATATATTCCGTGTGGGTCAAGTTTTCCACTCCATCCTTCCAGCTGTCTCTTCCTGATTCTAAGCATAAATATTCTTTCTGTTGCTATTTTCTTTAAGGCTTCCTGGTTCCTTGCTCAGCCCGTTCATGGAATTGTCAGTATCCTTCTGTAGAAACAAAATTCTGCTGCCCCTCGTTTTTTCCTCATCCGTGGGGAGACTGTCCAGTATTCACTGCCATATCAGTCAGTTATTTGCCATGCGTGTTACACGCTTAGGCAATTGTGTATCTTTCGATAAATGACTGACGAGGCTGATTTTTCCCGCAGTAGATTGCCATTTCTTTCTGCGGTAGACCAGTTGCCATCCAAGGCTATAGAACCCAGTCTGTTCTGCTATTTAACCATAGCTGGAGGGAGACGAATAGGATTCATACCTTTCCTAAGGGTATTAGCACGTAAGTGAATGTAATGGATTTGATTTGTATTCGAACTCGGCTCTCCAATTCCTCAATCCGAGCCGCTATCCATTAAGCGGTGGATATCACATAGAAATCCAGCACGCTTTTCTTTTCTTTTTTGTCTAACAGAATTTTTCCGTTTCTCAGCACCTTATTTAGATTGTTCAGCGATACAAGGCACAAGAGCCACTCAAGGCAGGGGGTTACTGAATGAGGCTATTGTAAGGGCGTATAAGGCGGAAATAAAAGCTGTATATTTTGAGGATACGTACGTTAGATGGCAGTTTTTAGTGAGCGGGAAGCATTCTCTCGGTGTCTGTTCCTCAATGTAACAGTTCTGAGGAAAAAACTGTCTGAGTAGAACTTCTTCCTCACTAAT